TGAAAGAACCTAGTATCCTAAAAACCTATTTCTATTATTAAATTTATTGTAAATAGCTGTATTTGAAAATTCTAGAACACTATTACAGTAGATACTCGCTCTTTATAGAATGGTATATTATTATTTTATTTATATACCAAATTAGCATCCCATCAATCCTCTTTAGCAGAAACAGGGGTCGATCCAATTTGTTTCATCTTAATTGCTCGACGGGAGGCATGTAACCAACATTTGTTATGACAAGTTGTTAAAATAAAATTACTGCGGAAAATTCGAGAGTTCACACAAACTGCGTGTGGATTCTACCATATGTAAAAATATTACAACCACAATTTTGTTTGGCGCTTTAATTTGCGAAATATTATAACTTTTAATGTCTGCCGCTCGTTACGGAGTGCGTGTTAATGTCAATTGTGATTTTAATACGTGTCCATTGCACTGGAGGTTTTATTGTGTCATTGCAATTTTTATTATTACATCAATAAAAAGTAATGAACATGATTTCTTCTATATATAAGCTAACTAGCTATGCCCGCGGTTTCACCCGCGTGAAATTTATAGCGTATGTGTTATTCTGATATAGAAGCTATATCACTAAAGTTTCAACAAAATCCGTTCAGTAGCTTCTGCGTGAAAGAGTTAGTAATAAAAGTATGGATATTTGATCCATCCATATTCACAAACTTTCGCATTTATAATATTAATAAGATTAACCATGTACGAATTTGGTTTTTTAATAGTGCCTTTTTCAGTCGTATTTTATTACTTATAATAATTGGTAAATGTATTATTAATTTTATTTATTTATTTATCAATTCTAGATTAATTAAAGACTTACAACGTTAAATACAGCATTATCACAAAGATCTTAGTTTAACATCATACTGAAATACAGGTTGACTGAATCCATATAGACTTTTTATAACGTCTCTTTCAAAATAAAATATTGACCTATTAAAGCACATGTGGTTAAAGCAAATTTCTGAGACTATAGTTGTAATCGAGCCGTGTCTATACACAGACAGTGTAGATTTTTTTTTATTTATAATAAATAATAATCATCTACACGTTCTGTTACACAGATCAAAAAATCATTTTAGAATATTTGCCTGCTTGTCTGATATTTGTACAAGCTAATCTCAGTAACGATGAACCGATCTGAATATGGTTTTTACTGATACAATTACCGTATTTCTCTCGAATCGATATTAAATAAAAAAGTTATAACCGATTAACACGTGTCCGAAGTCAAAGACGTCGCTAGTAATAGTTATACAATACACTTATCAACAATAACACCAAAAATAAACAAATGATACACGTTTGTAATCTGTGGGTGGTGCATTCCCCTCACAATGACTTATGTATTCTTATTGGAAACCTTCACTAATTCTATAAATTGGCCGGTAACAAGTAACTCAATCTCTTTGATCGAGTTAACATATCGACATCATTTAGAACCATTCACCAATATTGTGTTACATTTTAACCCACTATTGTGTTCAATAGTAGATCAAAATTAAACATTAACTTGAAAAATAAAAGATAAGTATATCAATAATAAATTGCTAGGTTTTAATTTATTAATATATTGAAAATTAATATATTGGCGTAACCAATAGTATTTAAAATTCACGATATAATATTCTATCCTATGTTCAATAACCGTAGCGTATCCATATCCAGCGATTACTTATTATAATCGTAATAACAAATGAATTACATAAGGAACCCATTATCACCTCCCCGCAGGTTATATCCGGCACAAAATCACGGGGTTCAAACCCCATTAGATGACTAGGCGAACTCGACCTCGTTACTAACCTTAAATTAATTTATATACGATAAATGTAGATACTACTGCATATAAGATTCAAATTTAAAATTACAATTTTAGTAAAGCTTTATAAAAGTTAAAAAATCTTAAATGGAAAATAATTTGTTTTTCAAATTCTGTAAAAGATAAATAAATAGTTGCCACCTTAATTAGTTTCCATATTTTAATTATTTATCTAATATTTGACATTATATTTTTGAATTACGAATTCCTTTTTAGCAAATATTTAATGGCATTTTCAATTGATCATAAACGGTATTTGTATTGAAATTCGAAATTCGAATTGAAATTAATTCAGTACTACATTACATACATAGAAGTCTACAGCCACCCAATACCATATTATATCAATGCAGTTTCGTCTGGGGCGCTTCGGATCTAAGTCGCATTCTTGACTTCATTTCAGTATAGCCTAGATAGATTATTGACATTATAATGAATGATCTGATTAAAACAGTAAGTATAGTAATAACCAAACAATCAAAAGTAATTAAATAAAGTACATAATGATAAATGTTCAGACTAACATATTTACAACATAATAAGACTAAAAATTACTCAGGTCTGCAATTACTTGGTGAAATTCAATCTACCAAACAAATTATCAATTTTGTGATGCAGTGTGTAATTTCTTTGTTAAACGTTAAAGTTCTAAGACAAAATTAATTGTATTGATGAGTTGTATAATTAAAGGAGCCAGGAGATTTTTATTGTGACCGTAAAGTAATTGCTTATTTCCAAGAACAATTATGCTGGGAAAGTCTCAGGGAGTCTCACCCATCGCAATGGGAGGTAGCGGGCACAACATTGTTTGTAACAATGAATCAATTAGTTAATCAATGAAACAATATTTTACTTGGTTAAATAGATCTTTATATAGGCACTTTTAATGGTTATTTGATAATATGGTTTTTCGATTGTATGGTAATACCGCATAATATTTCAGATTATTTAAAATTACGTGCATGATTAGCTTAGTAAAGTCTAGTAAAAACTTCATTGTAATAAAATATCATACTGAACTTAGCCCGCTTTCTTTCCTGAAGAAGAAATCCTAACTAGCCGTAGCATCTTACCCCTATGAATAACATGTAGACATACATCATTATAACCCTGTAGATTTACAATTATTTAAACTATTTTTGGCCAGTAGTAATTGTTAGCCTACTATAGAAGTTTACTTCCCCGACTTATATCCAAAAGAGTTTGTGTTCAAATCTTGCGATACAAAAAAATATTTATATTTCTAGAAGGAAAGAAACACCAAACAAATTAAGAAAATAATCAGTACAACACCAGTGACATTGTAATCTAATATACCAAGCAAAAGTGGATATGTCAAGTTTTGCGATTACCATTATTTCGACTATTTGGATCCAAACATGTTTTTATATTCTTTTATAAGTTTAAATTATTTTTTAAATTATTTTCCGGTAATCATACTTCTATATTACAAACTGCGCGAATCCATACAATACTAATTACAAATATACGGACCATACTTGTACGGTGACAACAGTCAGATGCACCGTTTCGGTTTAATTAATAAAGTGAAACTAATAGAATGATCGTTATTCGGTCCAAACGTGAGTGAGAATGTTGACGGCGGGCTTTGATCAGAAAGCCGACATATATTAGAAAGAAATGCAATTCATAGCGTGTTTGTTTTGGAACTAATTGATGACGAGATTTCACGAGATGGTTTAAAACTCCGAAGGTTGTCAACGCGGCGGCTCTCAGGTACTCAAGCACATTTTGTAAGAAAAATATTTCTATAATCATTAATGTTTGAAAGTCTAATAACTTTGTACTAAAATAAAACATTCTTATAATGGTATGTTGTAAAAGGAATGTATAAGTTTTAACGCAAGATCTTAGACAAATTAAATGGAAATTATGTCATAAGTATTTTAATTAACAACTTACATAGAAAATATTTAAGAAAAGTCTGTTTGTAATATTTAGATTAGAATTAATTTAGAAATTTCATTGTAATAAAATTACTATACATATTCATAAAACAGAGTTGTTAGTAAATACATTTGATATTTATTACTGACTTTTTGTATTGTATTTTCGACTATATATTTTTTTAATTTACACTTATTATTGCCGCAGTAATTGATATAATTTTTACACATTTATTTAGCACGTTTTCACTATATTGCATTTATTTTATAACCCAAGTATATTTGTATTAATAATAACAGTATTTTAATAAAAATATTTATAATGTTTTGGTTGTCGTAAAAGTTTGAATATGTCCATATTTTTACTGATAAAAATTCGATAAACAGTGGTACGACTTTAATCCGGAAAGTTTGAGTTGGCTTTATGAAAAATTCTTTTACTCGGCACGTTTAATAAGATAGTTGGGGAAAGATAACACTCATGTGGATTCTTAATGCGATTGATTTATTCAAAGTGTACCGAAATCGATAGGGCGATTATAACGTATTATTGCTGTGCCCTTTAAGAAAACCTGTTTATGTGCTATAAACTCTTAAAACTTATGATATTTTTAATTTATACATTAATCATTATATATTGACATGATTAGTACCAAAAAAAATCACGATAAGGTATTATTAATTGTTAATGTCTTGGTAAGACAGCTTTCCGAACGAGTGGTAGATAAAAAACAAATTGTTATGACTATTCAAAAGTGCTTAAATTAAGTTTATTTGTAAATGATTTTCTATTCTATTCTATTCTATTCTATTCTAACACTTGATTTGCCCTACAAACCTAACAACAAATAATATTAATTTAGTTTTGTTCACTAATCTATCTATTATTTTATCTCTGGGTCACGACGCTCTCTAGTTTCTTTCTTACAAAATCATATAACTTCCTGTTTAGATGTTTAAGTGCTACGTCATATCGTATGTTGAAATTAACGTAGAAATTTTTATTTACCTATACCTACAATGTATGTATTTTTAAAATATAACTCAATGTTTATATTATTCAGTGGTCAGCAAAAACCGGGCACGCGTTAGCCACCAACCACCTCTTCGTCCGTGCCGCGCTCCCCTATCCATTACGCCAGGTACGGACCCGCACGTACTCGGGGAAGGGATGATCGAAAATAATAGGGGAAGAGAATTTTAAAATTTATATTTTTTTGCAGCCGGCGCAGGTGATATAACGTGTGCGCGTGCGCCGGCGGCTCACTTGTACGCGAAGCTCCGTTGCCGCCGCTCGCGCACAACTTAAAGCTCTCTAAAGCTTCCCTTATCGTGCAGTGCTGTTTCGATCGCATCGCCGACCGGTCGCGCGACCCATCTCAATCATGCTACAAGAAATTCAACTCGTTCAAGGTCAGACGAACTATGTCGTTGTATCTTCTGGATATCCATCAACGACAGTAAAGACAGCTATGGAGAAGAGGAACATACCAATCGCTCCTGCTCCGGAGAAGAATTATGTCACACATGACACACCTCCAAATCTGCAATATAGAAAAAAGGTCCACTTTAGAACTAATCCGTATACTGGACCTCAGGCTGTATCAATCGCTCGACGCAACGCCCGTGAACGGAATCGCGTAAAACAAGTGAATGATGGTTTTAATGCATTACGACGACACCTCCCAGCTTCTGTGGTCGCTGCATTATCCGGTGGCGCTAGACGTGGTTCCGGCAAAAAACTCAGCAAGGTTGACACACTGAGAATGGTTGTCGAGTACATAAGGTATCTCCAGCAATTATTGGAAGACGGTGACGCAGCTTTAGGCATTACTCGTGACCAGGAAAATAGAGAAAATATTCCGAACAGTACTAATACTCAACCAATGACTTCTATGGATATGGACGATGGATTTTTTTACGGAAGTGGATCACCTTGTTCTGAAAAAGCAGGTTCTCCAGCACCTTCGGAATGTTCTTCAGGAGTTTCATCAGCGTATTCGAATGTAGATCGTTACGAGGTTACCACACAACAGCATCTGGGTCCTATGGATGAGGATGAATTATTAGACGTCATCTCGTGGTGGCAACAAAAATAGCAATATGGTAAGTTATACTTTTCATACTTTTCGTATTTATGAAAAAAAACCGAAGATAATATACAACAATAGATTTCAGCAAATTATTGTGAAAGGCTGTTAAGCAAATGTAGTCTAATATTAATTAATCTTAATATTAAAAAATTAAATAATAGCTTTACTTACTTACTAAATTTTATATTTAATAGTTAGTTTTTTTTTATATTTAATATTTTAATAGTTAGGCAGAGAAAAGAAATTGTTACTCCAATTAAAGTGTAATTATCAACTGGTAAAAAACATGTAATATATTTGTATTTCTTTTGTTCACAGGTCAAATAACTGCAATATTGGACGATTCCCTCCGATAATACGTGCATTATTTTTGCATTTATTTTGAATAAATACGAAAAGACTCTTGTAAATCTAGTCAAACCAGTAGTGCCTTACCGTGGATGTGTTTTCTAAGCAAGTATTGAAACATCGAAGTGCTAATGAAATTTCCACTTTCGTCTTAGTTTTGTCATTTGTTACCTGTTAATTAAACTTATTGAGGCTTTGGAATTCAAGCAATTGTACAATTTAAGTACTTTTAAAGCCCATGAACAACTGTAAATATTAGATATTAATCTTAATTTAAGGTATAGAAATAAATTATTTATTGAATTTGTGAATGTTCATTTTTGTTTTTTTTTATTCGTCACAAGTCAGCATTTATTTTATATATCTGTAAGTTCCACTAAGAAGAGATCTAATAACATAAGAAGGAGTTTTAAATTATGATTTAAAACCTATATAAAAAATTATTCCCTTTTATCTTTCTACACAAGTTAATGATACACTCTTGATGGAAAACGATAAGGTATCTTTATATCCGGAGACATGGAAGTCACAAATTACTCTACATTATTCCTAATGCGTAGCCATTCTCAACAATTAATATATTTCCGTATGACTGAATTAGTCTTCGTATTAATAATTACAAAACAATGTTATCCTTCAAATCCTAATACAATCATCAATGACGACGAGTTTGTACTATTGTACAGACATACATTATTTATATCATATAATACAAACACTTTTGTCAAAATAAAACCAGGATTTACAAATTGGTTCATAATACTTAGAGCTACCTAGCAGGGTATTAAGTAAATAAGTATTTTAATATGAACAAACTATGTATGTGAATGTACACAACTAATCCATGATCTCTGAATTATTGCCATAATGTAAATACGTCATTTCATTGTTAAATCCATAACGAGGTAGGTAACCTTTATATATATTTACCACTACATATATAATGTCCATTTATATATAACATACGTCATTTTATGAGATTTTAGATAAAATTTTAATATCATAATCATGAATACTAACATTTGTACTGTGCGTGGAATCAAACTCGAGGCCATCAGCATAAGGCGGTGTGCTAAATAAACTGCTAGAACACCTTAAACCGAAAATTCGCTTCAAAAATAGTTCGCTTAAAATAATTATTTAAATTGTACTGAATCGATTCTAGGAAATATTATCCAATCTTTGTTCAAAGTGTACACAATAATTGCGACTTTCTATCAAGAAGTCCATCAGCTTATATACAAGTCCAAAAAAATATAAAAGAATGTAATATTTAAGATTGCCGCAAAATAATTCTTCAAATTGTATTGAAATGGTTCTATGAAATTCGGTCCAGTCTTGATTCACTCCAGTAATTAGTTCATTAACCTCGACTGCATGCCCTTTTTGTCCTTTCATTGAGCTTATTAAGTTCCGTGCTGTGCTTCTGGACGTTGATTGAGAAATGAGAGAAAGTGGTTAGCTAATCAATTGTCAGTATAAAATAATTAATTATTATTTCAGTTATTTAATTTATTTCTTTCTCTATTATTATTCGAAATTTTCATTTATTTGTAGTAAATCCCTACTGTTTGCTATTATATTTAGATTCACATTTGTAAATTACCATTAAAATATTTATACCTATGTTTCAGTTCATATTATGATTATTGTAAAGACGTGTGAATTGAAACTTATTACTGACCTATTATGATTTGTCAAGTTAATTTATGTTAAAGTATTATATTGAAATAATTTATATTCTGAAAATTTTAGAATACGTATAAAGTACACACAGTCTTCACTGACTCACTGGCTGATTAAATTAATTTTAATTTAATTAAAAACTGAAATAGATCATATCCTTAATTATCATCAGATATTTTGATCCATTATTTTAGGTAAATCACGCGAAAAAAAATCGCAACGTACGATTTTTGGACTGAAACATGCAGCAGCGAGTGATGAAAAATACGCTCCCTTTCTTATCTTTTCCTGTACCTATTATTAATGCTAATAATCTGACGATATTCAGGAGAAAGACCATTATCACGTAAATTAAAAAAAAATACAAACAGAATGTGCAATAAATGATTTGTTGACCTGCAAAAATGTCTGAAATTCATGCATTCTTGTATCAGTCAGCTCTTCATTTAAGTTGGTTGTCATTTCTAATCCATAATATCCCGGACTATTGAGACAACAATTTCATATAAACAACGTATATCTTGTGTCAATGCTGTTATTAACCTTTATATCATAAATCAACGTTGCCCAGATGTGAATTAGCCGATACGATCGCAACGAAATATTTCCTAAAAATAAAAAAATACCTCACACGAGCCCAATCAACCATTATTATATGACACAAGATGAGGGCAGATTCTATTAATTTATAACCAATGTGGGTGGATAAACTGACATTATTTTTTTATTAGTCGCGGAACACGTTCACATGAATAACTGTAATTTCATACGCATTTATTAAGTCGTATAACTAAATTATTGCAAGGGTTATGAGTTGCAACAAAAAATACTGAAAACGAATACAATTTACAAAAAAAAAATTACCCACGACTTCGATAGGGAAGTATTGAGCAAGACAGCAACTAGCATACATCTAATAATGGACATCCCATATATTGACGTAATATTCGTAATTCACTATTGATGACGGTTGCCACTGTTCTTCAAGTGGGCCAAAGTTTTTCGCCAATCCAATTACAATAAGAAACTAAGATATATTGCAAATATTAGATGTGATAATTAAGAAGAATATCAAGCCTTTGTTATCGTAATTAATACAAATTTGGCTATTGGAGTTAGAGTTTCCTAATAATAATTTTAATTTATTTCACATATTTTATACAAATAATTTAATTTAGGTCCTTGACTTCTAATGAGTAAACCACTAAATGTATTTCTACCCATCTTTGTCTCTGCGCACAATGTTTTTCAGTTCAAATAATTGCGATCTCCTTTGCAGGAAGATTGAGAAAGATGAAATCTTAATTCTGCACTGGTGATTTTTGGAACTATACTTAAAATATCATCTTTTACTTTTGTGGGTTTACCGAACTTCGTTTTTGGTAGAAATATAGATTATTGTCAAAATTGTACTCGTAACATGAATGATACGGTGGTGCTTTTTCTAGGAAATATGACAAGTGAAACTTCTAATTTATATGTCTACGTAAATTATATTTGATCCGTTCATTCGAGCCTTCGAAAAAATCTCTCGTTATTAAACTTTACGCGTGTGACCGGCCGTGTTACCCGACTGTATATAAAAAAATGTTATTGTTTTGATAAAAAATGACATGCCATGCAAGCATCTGATAATAGGCGTAGGCGGGGTCCCAACAAAAGAGAATTGGTTAACACCAAACCAACACAATACGGGTTGAAGTTTTGATTCGGGTGTAAAATTAAGTTTTCTAACATCGGTCTCCCTTTGTTTGTTCGTTTTTTTCATGTCACACTTCCCGGACAATACTATTATATACGACTATTTGTTTTACAAATGATTGGACTGTCAGAAGATTACTGTTTATAAAATATAGCTTTCATTCTAATTGTACTATAACGAGGTCGTTATATATAATTTGCGAAATTAGATCCTCAAATTCTTTTCCATTGTTATCTTCAATATTATTTAATAAATTGGTAAAAAGTTATGAAAAAGACATTTCGAAATGAGATAATATCGAATCACGTATCGTTATTAGGCATTAATCAAGGGTCGTACCTATCTCCGAGACTTCCTGCGCTCTCGGTAACATAAAGGCTGCTTTTAGGGGGTTTATCTTGCTAATGATGTTTTACGATGTGGCTCCATTCCGCGTTATCGCTAACGTCGCCTACGGTAGCCGATAGGCATTACTTTTCAACGACAATTTCTTAAATAAACGTCCTTATGTACATAAATTTAGGGTTGTGATGGCACGTAATTAATTGGTTGATGAAGAATTGATGAGTAGTAGCGTCTTCCCATCAACTGTACCTTTGCCGCCTCTCATATCGGAAAGTAGCTTAATTGACGGATTGCAGTAGCCGCAAGATTAGTGCTCTTTTTGTGTGACATTCGAACTCTTTTGTAAGTTATCTCAAGATAGTAGTTTACGGTCGGCCGGCATGCTACGGATAATTTCTTCAGCATCGATGATTTTTCCTATATGTGTACCTTTTTAATACATGTATAATTAATATAAAGTCAGAATTATGTTAAAGTAATTGTAAGTATAATATATGAATAGTCTTTGAAAGGCATTACGGAACACATAGATACTACTTTACTCAGGTAAAGTAGTATCTATGTGTTATGTCTATGTGTTATATTGTCACATAAAATCAGTTTTATGTGACAATATAGCCTATATTTATTCAAAGCTAGAGATAGGTTTACCACAAAGAATTTCCCTGTGTATGGTATTCCTCTTTTCGTAGACAATAATATTCACATACATAAAAATATGTAGTGTCCAGTACCTGTTGTACTGGACACTGCATATTTTTAGTAATCTTACTAGGAAGTTCCGTTATAACTTCAAAGTGTTTATCTATTGTGTCGATATATAAAAATTAGTAACATTTCTCCTTAATGTGTCTTCACACCACTTCTCTCTATAATATTCTAAATATTCCAATTGAATATTTCGGCCAGAGAGAACAAAGGCCGGCTACACGGCTGTCGGGCGCATTAACGCCCTACCACAATAAATCCAGGAGGTCTGTCGCCAAAGGGCTAATTACTCTGAATATCGGTTGATATACTGTCTACTTAGGAGCCGTGATGTATGACCATATACAAAGGATCGGACGCCGTATCCCGCGGGCAAAATACAACGATTATAAATAATCATGTTTAGGATAACGATTATTGAGCTTACCGAATACCGATGGGTGTCGCTAGTTGGGTTTAGGAAGTGAGAGGAGATATGAATTCATTACATATATCTCAAATAGACTCTAGCATAAAATTCATATAATATCAATAAAAGTAATCCAAAACTAGGAAAGTATTGTTTTTTAACGGTATTAGCTAAGTCTATTAATACCATCGGACTTCACTTCAATTTCAGTATCCGTTTAGTCGTGAAAATGAAAGAAATAACAGACAAACGTCTGTTTGTTATATAAACTGTAACATTTATAAGTGTTTCAAGGAAGTAGATCCATTTTTGGAAAATTCTTCTATCATCATTATATCAACACGTAATATATAGCAAAACCTTTGTACCTTTTACTTTTACGAAAATTACGCGGACGGAAGAGTATGAAATTTAGCTCACTTACAGCTTATATTGGGAAGGAGTGCAAATTGCTAATATACTTTTTT